TGTTTGGACACGAGGAAGGCCAGCATCCTGCTCATCCGCAAGATCTTCGTGCTGATGCAGAACCTGAGCCCTCTGCCCAGCGACGTCTGCCTCACCATGAAGCTGCTCTACTATGATGAGGGTACCCTGCCCCCTTCCCTGCTCCCCCAGAACCCACAGGAATATTGGGAAGCTCCCATTCCCTGCCACCTGGGAAATGATGTTATTTCTCTTTTTCCCACCCAAGCCCCGAGGGGAAGGGGGGTGATCTCGCCCCAGCAGCACAATCCTGGCTCCCCTTCCTCAGAGCAGAGATCTTGGGGTGCTCCCAGGGGTTCCCCACAGTGCCTTGGGCTGTCACACACTTTGCCAGCCCAGCTCTGGTTTGGTGACTCTCCAAACCTCTGGCCCTGCTTTCAGAGCAGTTATTTCCTTGTTGTGACAGATCAGAGCCTCTGTTTTATGTCTCCAACCTCTCTCAAACAGCTTCACCTGCTCAGTGGAGAGAAAAGAGCTTCACTTACCCCAAGCTCAATATTGATTACTCCCCTCCCCACACACATTTTTTTCTTATATTTAAAGGAGTGCAGAGTTTTCCTGTCACCTTTCCAAGGCTGTGTTTCATTGTGACCCCTTCCCTGCCTTCCCCCCTGCAGTGACACCCCCCGATTACCAACCCCCGGGCTTCAGGGAGGCCAAGTGTGAGGGGCTGCTGTTCAACGAGGAGCCCACCCACCTCAACGTGGGGGAGGTGCCCACCCCCTTCCACCTGCTCAAACTCAAGATCACCACCGAGAAACAGCGCATGGAGCACGTGGGCAGAGACATCCTGGGGCAGGGGGAGAGGGAGGAGTCCCTCCAGCCAGGAGGAGAGGTCCAGGACATGAATGTAAGAGCACGGAGTTTTTTGGGGAGCTTGTTGAGGTTTTTTGTGCTGTAGCATCTAGAAAAAAAGCTGTTATTGTTTCACCAGAGTATTAACAAACCCCCTCTGTTTCCAGGTGTGTTTAAGCAGGACGATGTTTATAAATAATTCAGGACGGTTTTGCCTTGTTTTTCCTGCTCCACTTTGCAGCCTGTCACTGCTCACGAGGTGCTGAGCAGCAGAGGGGTGGCTGAATCCTCTCCCTCCCCATCCCAACCCGTTATTTCCCTGCACTTTGTTCCACCCCAAACCCTTCCAACAAGTCTGAGGAGAAACCCCCTTCCTTCTGTGCCTGCCCTGACAGCCCCGTTTCCTCATCCAGGAGGATCCTGCCCCGGCCACCAAAGTGGGGGATGAGAACCACCAGGATGTTTCAGAAGCTCAAGGTAACATTCAGGGGATTTTTCAAGTCTCTGAGTTGCCTTTTTCCTGGGACAACCCCTCAGTTGTCTCCCTTCAAACCTTCCTTATTTTCTTCCCCCTGGAGAGGGAATTTCTGCTGGCTGATCTGCTCCTCCTGGAGGGACTGTGCAGAGACACCCCAACAACCTGGAGCTCCTTTGCAGAAAGGATTTCAAATGTTGGCTTTGGGGTTTTGGGGTTTTTTTGGTGCAGCTTTGCCAAAGCAGCTCCCATTTCCATGCTGTTCCCAAATAACCATGGAAGTGGGGAGCAAACAGCACGTGGAGGTCAGGATTGTTATCTTGCACAACTGGAACAACCACATCCAGCTGCTTTTAGAAAGCCATCAAATTTCCCAAACTATCCCAAAATGCAGCTTTTTGTCTGAGGGAGCTGGTAAATGTTTTATTTATGGGGACTGTGAGGCCCAGGGAAAGCCTGAAATCCTGGTGTTGTTTCCACAGCTGATGCACAGCCTTCCTCAACCATTCCAGCCTTTTATTTGGATCCTAGGGGGGGGGAAAAGGCAGCAGAAATTAGAAACAGCAACAAAAACGTCTGGGATGGGCTGTTTTCCAACAGATCCCGGGTGGAAACTTGGCAGGAGCACCTCTGGGTGCCCGTGGCTGGAAGGAAATGGCTGAATTTGAGATTAAATTTAATCCTTGCTGGAGTTTGGGACAGGAAATGGCTGAATTTGAGATTAAATTTAATATTTGCTGGAGTTTGAGATAAGAAATGGTTGAATTTGAGATTAAATTTAATATTTGCTGGAGTTTGGGACAAGAAATGGCTGAATTTGAGATTAAATTTATTTGACTCCTCAGCTCTTTCCTTCTTTTAGAAACAAGCTCCACCTGTGGAGAGGAAGCTGGAGGGATCCAAACTCCAAATGTTTCTAACCCTCAGGTAGGAAAACTTCTGCTTTCTTGTCTCCAACTTTTGGGGGGCTTTTGTGAAGCTTCTTTTCCTCCTTTAATGGTGATTAATCTGCTCACCATTTCCAGCAACAAAATTCCTTTTTACATCCTCTGCTCTCTAAATCTGCATTTTTTTTGTTGCTGTCACAGCAAAAACTTCATTTTCAGGTTTCAGGAAGCTCTTGGAGCGTTCCCTGGAGTGTTGTTAAACAGTTAACAGCTTGATTGGACCCAGAAAATTTCATGTAATAGGCAGGAAACTTTATTCTCTGATTTCAGGTGGATCATTTGGCCCAAAAAACGTCTGAGCTGGTTGTGTCAGAGAGCAGGACCAGGAGTGGGAAGATATTCCAGAGCTGCCTTGTAAGTACCACGTTGTTTTCCTTTAGTTCTTCCCATTTGGTTTGGGTTGGAAGGAGCCTTAGAGCTCATCCAATCCCACCCCTGCCAGGGGCAGGGACACCTTCCACTGTCCCAGGTTGCTCCAGCCTGGCCTGGGAAACTTCCAGGGATGGGGCATCCATGGAATAACCTGTGCCAGGGATCCCCCACAGGGAAGGATTTCTCCATCTATCCAACCAAAATTCCCCCTCTTTCAGTCTGAGCCCATTCCCCTTTGTCCTACACTGCAGTTCC